AAGTCCAACACCGATCTACTGGCAGTCCAATCAGGAGCAAGCCCACAAGTATGTTGCTCAGACCCAGACCCAAGTCAGGAACTGGTAGAATTCAGACAAGGAGTTCAGTAACTAGATTTTGCACTATATCGGACTACTTTGGGAACACTAAAAGTTTACAGGTCTGCAGCTTGACATGACCTTGTCATGGGATAGCACAAAAATAACACAATACTCAGTATCCCAGAAAGCCACTGAAGGACCCCGTAGGGGTTCAGCCAAAATATTCCTTCAAGAAATGCTTAGTGTCTGGTTCTAACATAAAATTCAAAGTCAGGAAATAGATTGGAAAAATGAACAAACAAAAGAGAAGTCCCACCACAAAAATCTATTATGGTGATAAGATTGCTCACAACACAAACCCAAAAGAAGAGAATGTTTCCAAAACATTTACAAGTAAAGCCTCAAAGAAAAGTATGGCTTAAGCATAATTTCAACTAGAATTCCTAGAAGTGAAGCAAGAGTTTTTTTTAAAAGAGTTTAAAATGTTTAATAAATTAAATGAGAGCACTAGAAGAAATAATTGGAAAAGAAATGAGAGTTATGGAAGAAAGAATTGAAAAGGAAATTAACAGTCTGACACATGAAGTACAAAACCTTACCTAAGAAACAAACTCCTTGAAAATTAGAATGGACCAAATAGAGGATGAAACTATTTGTGATCACTGCTTCCCTTTCTACAGTAAATTCTTACAAACCATGACATAATATGTTTAGAATTTTTATGGGAATTGAAATAAAGCCTGCTGCCTTAACTCTACCCTCTTCCCTTTTTAAAAAGTAGAGACAATGCTTGCCCATTCCCCCCATTCTCTATGAATTTTTTAAAACTGCCAATGCCCCCAAAATAATTTCTGTCAGTCCTTTAAAGACCTGGTATTTAGTTCATCTGGACCTGGTGAATCAATCATTGAAAGAGACAAGGTGGCAGAGTGGAAACCATGCTGCAGTTGGAGTCAGAAAACTTAGATTCAAATGTGACCTCTGTCAATTATTAAATATATGCTCATGAGCAAATCTCTAAACCTCTCAGAACCTCAGATCTCACATCTGTAAAATGGAGATAATAATACTTGCACTAACATCCTTAACAAGGTTATTATAAAGAAAATGCTTTAAAAAGCTTAAAGTCCTCCATAAATATAAATAATCATTCCTGAAGACAGATAAGTATTCTCTTCCCATCTCCATGCTCATCTTGGTTTTCAACTCTCCATTCAATTTTTGTTCCATCATTTGAGTCCAGAGAACATTCTCTTTGCTAGTAATAGTAGCTCACATAACATTTAAATTTTGCAAAGTTTTGTACATTACATATAATATTTCAGTTGATCGTCATTATAAACTTATGAAGTAAGTCCTATCATTATCCTCATTTTATAGAAGGTGAAACTGAGACACAGAAAGGTTAGGCTATTTGCAAAGGGACATAAAACTAGAAAGGTCTGAGGCAAGATTTGAACCCTAGTCTTCAGGTCCTGACCCCTCTGCCCTACACTACAGTTGCCTCAAACAGCCAAGTAGTTCTACCTTTATTCTATTTTTTTATCGCCTTCCCACTACTACCAACAAACCTATCCCTAGTTTGATTTTCCTCTTGCCCCCAAAGAAACTCTTTTTATTGTGTTTATTATATTCTCCCAACTAAGCTCGTTCTGAGATTTAAAGTTCTGAAACTATTCTTTTACAAAGTGCCAGTCTTTCATATTCATCCTCAGCTAGCCACCTTTTTTTCCGTCTTTCCTACTTGTCTTTGGAAATTTAAATGTGCCACTGAGTTCCAGTTTCCTCAGAAGAGGTGATTTTTTTTCCCATTTCCCTTTCCTCATTTTGTCTTCCTACTTGGTCAATAAATGGGTTTTTGTTCTCTAATAATCACGCATCTTTCCATTATCAGAAAACCAACATCTTTCATATTATCTTGTTACTGTGCTTATCCATCCAGTCATGGTAGTGTCTTTGAACACTTGAAAATATAATTTGTAACTATTGATCGAAAGAATGACCACTTGCCTTTTAGAGAGCAGCCTGTTCTACAGTCTTGCAAAACCATGAGCATGAAAGCTTTGCAACAGGAAAATAAGTTTGACATGACAGGGATTAGTTTCACACAGTTCAATTTTACCTGGATATTATGTCACTTAAAAAGAAAAATGCAGGTAATTGACAACTCTGTTGTGTCTAACTTGTTCTCTATGAATAACAACAAAATAATCCTTACTTAAAAGGCCCTGGACCAGTTGACTCCTTCAGTTTGATACCCTGTCTTCTTCCTTTGGCTGTGAACTGTAGTTTGTAAAGGCAAGAGGAGAGCCAGAGAATACTTATCTTGCTTGAGTACTTACCTTCATTTAATAAGTATTTATTGTATGCCTAAGATGTGTAAGATGGTGCCTGGTCAGTCTCCCCTAACTTCAAGGCACCCCCCAACACCTCCTCCCTCTGACTCTACAGTGAAAAGCCAGCAGACTTGACTGGGGTGGCAAATTAAAAACAAAAATGGAAAAGCCAGAGCCAGATGATACTGTCTCGCAAAAACATGTCAACAGTTCTGTTCAGCAAGCATTTTTAAAGCATCCACTAGTCTAGGCTCACGTAAAAGCATTCCCTGGCCTTAAGGAAAGGAATTCATCTACTGTGAAAATGGCACAGTGGACAGAGTGCGCAGCTTGGAGCCAGGAAGACCTGAGTTCAAATCCAGCCTCAGACACTTACTAGTTGTGTGACCCCAGACAAGTCATTAAACCCTGTTTGCCTCAGTTTCCTCATCTGGAAAATGAACTGAAAAAGGAAATGGCAAACCACTCGGTATCTTTGCCAAGAAAACCCCATATGGGATCACAAAAAGTCTGAAACCACTGAACAATAACAATAACTTGCAGATACAGGTACAATGCTATAAGTTCTCTTTATGGCAATAAAACGTAAATTCTGGGAAAAGATGGACTAATTTTGCAAAGTTAACAAAGGAATAAAAGAAAGTCTAAAATCAAAGTAAAATAAACACAAAATTTGCACTTGCATACTTCCCAAACTGTTGATGTAATATTTCTGTGCATTACTAAGTGATCTAGGAACATTCTAGCTTGAAGGAGCACCAAAAGATTTTCATTTGTTTTTCTTTGCCAACACTCTTTCTGTGCAAACCCAGTTTACAGAAACCTCTAGGTAGCTTGCATTTCAAGCAAGTGGTGACTGATCTAGTAAGCTTGGAAAGTGACAAGAAGAGCCCAACAGAGAGACCAGTCTTTCCCACCTTGTTAACACCTAGATAGTTCTCTAAGGTATGGTTGGTTTGACAAGTGGAGACATCATATAAGTCAGACAGTGAAGAGCTGAAGGTGCTGCCAGAACCTTTCACTCTCAACTCCAGAAGGAAACTGACTAAATAGGGATGGCTTCCTTTCAAGGCCACCCTCTCTCCTACTATGGCAGCCACTGGGAACAAGGAGGCCACAAACTATGAACAGTCACCAATGCTCTTGGCTCTCAAATATGTCCTCCCTCCTAAGCTCAGGCTCTTAGGAATCCCTGGTTTCCCTCAAAATTCAACTCAAGCATTCCCTTCTGCTGAGGCCTTTCTCATCCCCCCTCCCCCACCAGCGTATGCCTTCCCCTCTAACACTGCTTTCCACTTTCTCTGAGTTTGGCATGAACTAACTTATGTACATAGGGGATACAATGGATAATGCACTGGGTCTGGAATTCAGGAAGACTCATCTTCATGAGTTCAAATTCACTTACTAGCTGTGTGACCCTGGGCAAGTCACTTAACCTTGTTTACCTCAGTTCCTCACTGTAAAAATGAGCTGGAAAAGGAATTGCTCCAGAGAGGCAAACCACTCCAGTATCTTTGCCAAGAAAACCTCAAAATGGGGTCATGAAGAGTTAGACACAACTAAAATGACACAACAACAAAAAACAACTTATATATATTGTCTCCCTCACTAGAATGTGAAGTCCTTGAGGGCATGGACTATTGCTGGAGGGGAGCTGTCCCCAGTACTTAACACATTGCTTGACTCAGAGTAAGTGCTTAATAAATAAATTACTGTTAGTTGATTGACTTAATAATTTACAGCAATAACTGACTGTAATCATGATGGTTACCCTCAATGGACTAAAAAAATATGTTATAATCAATGATTGTCAGTAGTTTTAAATTCATGACTATCTTCCCTGATTACCGCATATCTAATGAAATGGTTTCATTTTAAAACCTATAGAATTTGATTCAAACTTAAAGGTGGATTTAGATTGTTAAGATTTTTATTTACCTACAGTTCCCAATTGAAAGCTGTATCATACTGGATTGAAAAGAAAAATCTTGTGTGATTTTTAAGCAAGCACATAGAGCCTTTGATAGTTGTTGGGGAGGTGACAGCTTTCTTATCAAATGAAGTTTGTTGGTTTGTTTTAATGGTGTTTTCAAGAAGAAGCTCAAGGTAACTAATTGAGGGATTGTTCTGTGGACAATGTTTACATGATGATGGAGGTTTCCAATTGTCTGAAGTAATCCCCAGTGGGTATTGTGAAACTTGAAGGTGCAATACTATCATTTGGGAAGAGAGATGGCTGCGCTATTGTCTTCTGACTCCTCTCCTTTGAATGTCAACATTAGAACTCCCTTTCCCTTTTCGTTCCTCAGTTCTTTCTTTACCCAACTCAAATGGGTAGCCAGGAAAGGAATTTAATCTTATTTATTGAAGCACCCAATCTGCTCTGCTCAGGATTCCTACTCCATGCTTAATGTAAACTGGTTTTGAAGTCAGAGGACTTGTATGTGAATTGGCTCTGCTGCTTGCTGCCTGTGTGACCTTGGACAGCTCCTTTGTCCCTTCTAAGTTGCAGTAAAATGACAGAGTTGATTTAGAGGACCTATAAAGCCCCTTTTAGATCTTTAATCAATTTTGAATCTAAGTAAAATGAGAGACAGTAACACACATGATTTTTTATTTCAGATGCAACAATGAAAATGAATGGTACCAGGTGCATGAAAATATCATCCGAAAGTCTAGCACAAAGTACACTGCCCCCAGCTCCAACTACGGTAATCTATTTCTTTTGAATAGAATAACTTGCTGATGTTTGCATGATGGGACTCAGGCCATGTGGCCATCCCAATGTTTGTTGCTAAACTTTTATGTCGCCTGCTTTGTTCTCTTCCACATAAGTGACTTGAGGTCAAGCCTAATTATGCCTTTCCTTTGTCCAGGGTGAGGAAATGTGTCATTGGGTCATCCTGCTAAGACTTGGGTTTTCTTGAACAAAACCATCGACTCAGAATAAAACTGACACTTAGTAAAGTCACTTCTTTTTCCGTTACTGTTCATTCCGTGTGTCATAGGGAAACCACGTCACTAGTCAGTGTCAGTGATTAATCTAGCAATATCGGTCACTATAGGATAAGAACAGAAAAATATTTCCCTCTAAGTGACTTATATCTCTTTCCTGAACTTTTTCAAACAGAAGTCATTGAAATTCTTGCTATTGAAACCTAGGGATAGTTGAATAGAAAGTTATTTTGTGATTCAATCTGAAAATGATGGTTTGAAAAATGTATGACTCTTGAAATCATCTTACACTTAGCTATTGAATTCACAACAGAAATGGGTATTTATTTTTGCCATTTTCATCAATAAGTTATTTCATAACCACCTTTTCTTAACCTTTTTTTGTCCTCAAACTTACACAGACTTTTCTGGGAACTATGAGTTGGTCTTGAATGACAATATAAAACCAACATGCCATTTGCAGGCAGAAAACTTCCTAGACAATTTTGACTGTCAGAAGGAGCTTATTTTTTGCTCTATAAATATAAATGGGTATCTGAGTAGGAGGATCTTTGGAGCAGCTCTGAGCCAGAGGCTGCAGAAGGAGAAACATTCTGGAAGGCACGTTTGGCTCCACTTACATATTGCAGTGTGGGTGTCATCCATACCTACTGAATTATTTATTTAGCCAGGGTTGCTTTTCCTTGTATGTGTACTTTGGGATTAGGCACAAAGTGATGATGACTGCCATTGCCATCAGGATGCTGAGGAGCACCTTGTCTAGGTGCTCAGAATTACAGAGCCTTGGTCTAGTAAATGTGCGGGCACAATAAACCTCTCTCTGAAATAAGAGGAAAAGAAGAATTGGCCAAAAGCTAGATTTGAAACAGAGGGAAAGGTCCCAAGTTATCTATGGAGACACAGCCCCTTTCATCTCTCTAACATTTTTTGTCTTATTTATGTGTTTTGTTCACAAAATGATGCCCTTGACTCTTAGTTCTTCAGCCACAAGCATGATTAAAACTCACGTGACATATTTAAGACAAGTGGGAAAAAGTAAGAATGCATTAATTAGGAAGCAGCCCCAACATTGCCCCAAACTCAAAAAGATTGGGTTTTCTTTGCTCCCTAAAATTCTAGGTACTTTTAATGTAAAGGCAATGACTAGTCTGTCACACACACCCCTTTGGGGTTTGGGGTTTTTTTGGTTTTGGTTTTTGTTCAAGGTCTAAATATGTTGGGCATTTAATAGTCAGTCAATAAGCATTTATTAAGTGCCTACTATGTGCCAGGCTCTGTGCCAAGCACTGAGGATACAAGAAGAAGCAAAAGATACTCCCTGTCTTCAAGAAGCTCACAATCTAATAAGGGAATGGTTGTTTAAGAAAAGTAACAATGAGAGAATATAGCTATTCTTGCTATTATAATCAATATGTAGTAAGTGTCTTCAGTGACTTTACCAGGCATAGAGATAACTATTCTTCCACTACCAAGGATTAAATACTGCCCTAATTTGAGGAAAAGGTAAGAGATTGTGCTTCCATCTAAACCCCAGTGTGTGGGAAATTTCCAATATGCCACAAATCCCATTTCCTACAAAAAGTTGTAAACTTAGTCTCTGGTGTTATATAGTGACACTTTTCCCCTGGCCAGCTCGTTTTTTATTGGCCTCATCTGCCTGCATTTCTCACTTTGGTGAAAATCAAGAGCAAGACAGAATGGCACAGACCTAAGTCAGTGCCCAAACCTTCTTTGAAGGCCACTGAGAGTGACAGTGGTAGCTTCACAGCTCTAGAAGCCTGAACAATATCAGAATGACAAGATAATAAAGAGAGGCTGCAACAAAGTTAGGTCTTGACCAATCCTAAATGATAAAGGAAAAAGTTACCAGTGTCATCTTGAGAAACATTTCTTACAGGTGTAAGAAAAACCAAGGGATATATAGTATAACAGTTCCTGGAAATGAATAGATCACTTTTCTAGACATATATGAATTTATATCTGCAAATAATTCTCTTTCACCTGCACCCTGATGGATTTATTTCCAGGTATTTCTTGAATTGCTATAGGGATATTGTTGGCCAAATTCTGAATCTTGCTTCATTCTATTATTCTACTCAATTGAAGATCTATTTTTTAAAAATAAATTTCCTTTGCTTTATCCCATCACTAAGTACCTGATTAAGCTCTATGGACAGTTGATTTAGAACGTCCAATGCAATCACTTTCAAAGACTCTTAGATGTTTTCCCTAAAGTCATCATTTAGATTTACAGAAAGAAATTTCTGTTTTGGTTGTGGGTATTAAGAAAATATATAATTCTCCAGTAACCCTAACATATTCTCATCTATCCCTCCCTCTCTCCCTTTCCCTACCTTTCTCTCCCTATTTTTTCCTTTCTCTCATCTCCCTCTCTTCCCCCTCCTCTTCTCCCCCTCTAACTCTTTGCTCTTGCTCTTTCTCTACCTGTACACTCTCTCTCTCTCTCTCTTGCTCTCTCTGCTCTCTCTCTCTCCCTTCTTCTTTCTTCCCTCTTTCTCCCTACTCTTTTTTAATAATATACACATGTCTTTCATTTGGCTTATTGGGATATCAAATACACTGTCATTCAGCATGAAGCAGTTCCCATTCACATAGAGGTCATTAAGAATAGCTGTTCACAAATTAAACAATTAACAGGAAATTTTTCTGTATTTTAAATATGTATTTTTATATTTAGGATATTAACCACAGAGCTATTTCAGCAGCTGGGCTGAGATTAATTTGGGTAATTAATCCCCATTCAACCATTCAACAAGTATTTGCCAACCCACAAATGTCCCATATAGGTATCACTTTGACCAACTACTTTTAATGGAACAGAATTCAATATTAAATTAAATTTAGGTTACCAGTTTTAATGCAATTTTAAAGTGTCCTCCTGTTGGATGATTAAAGGAACCAAAAGTCATTCTATAGAGTTAAGTTAGATCAAAGTTACTGGTTTGGGAGACTATGCAACAGCTTGGAAATTATCTATAGGACAACTTATCAGTAAGATTTAGAGTCAAGACCTGGGTCTCAATCCTAGCTCTTTCATTTATTACTTAAGTGACCTTGAGCAAGTCATTCTACTTCTTTACTTCCAGTCTCTTCTCTCACATCCATCTGCTTCTCACTACTCACACAGCTACCACCTTAGTTCATTCCTTTATCACCTTTCACCTGGACCATTGCAAGGACCTCCCAATTGACCTTTCTTCTTCAAGTCTCTCTCCATTCCAATCTATCCTCCACACAGCTGTCAAAATAATTTGCCTTAAGCCCTAGTCTGAAAATGTTACCCTCCTATTTTAATAAACTTCAGTGATGCCCTATTTCTTCTAGGAAAAAGCATAAAGTATAAAGTCTTCATCTGGTTTTTAAAGCCCTTCATAACCTAAGCCTAATGTATCTTTCTGGTCTTGATATACATTATTCCTTTTCCCTTAATTTATAGAGCAGCCCCCATGCCTGAAATGTAGTTGCATCTTCCCTCTCTACCTCATAGATTCCCTCACTTCATTCAAGATTTAGCTCAATTAGGACCATTAAAATCATTATGCAATTTCCCAAATGCAATCGGCATGGGTGGGGGCAGGGAATGCAGCTCAAACCCCACCTTCAACACAAAGTCTTTCTTGCTCCTAGCCCCTGCCCAAGCAATGTGTCCTGCCTCCCTGACTATCTTGTTTTAATTTTGTATTTATTCTCTCACATTGTCTCTCAGGTAGGATGAGAACTGTTTGAGAGCAGGAATAGTTTAATTTTGATGGGCTTCGTCTTTTCATCCCCAGTGACTATGCCTAAAATGTTGTTGTTGTTGTTGTTGTTATTGTTGCCATTGTTCAGATGTTTCAGTCATGTCCAACTCTTCTTGACATAGTAGTCCTTTAATAAATGCATATTGGTTGGCAGTATTAGAAGATTACTGGCCAGCACTCCTTTTCTAGAATCCATTCTAACCAAGAATCGTTTGCATTTGCCATTTGTTATTATTTCAGTAGGCTCCCAAAGCAAGTTACAGTTTTGAAGGTCATAGATAATTTCTCATTACCAGTATTTTAAATTAACTACTTTCTGATGTCATAGAGGGAAACACGTTAATCTCATCAGTACTATTTAAGAATTCCAAAGCAAAGGATTCTAAGAGGCAGTGATAAAGAGGTGTAGTATTTGAGGTATAGGTGCCAGCCTATGCAAAGCCACAGAGATAGGAGATGTCATGCCACATTCAGGGAACATTGAGGAGACTGATTTGCTTGAAACATAGACTGAGTGAATGGAAGTGAGGTAAAAGATGTCTGGAAAAGTAGGTGGGAGCCAGGTTCCAGAAGGCTTTAAATGACACTCTGGGGAATTTGTATTTGAGCCAAGAGGCAACAGGAAGCCAGTAAAGATTTTAGAATAGGAGAATGAAATGGTAGATCTGTTTTGAGAATATTGTTTTTGCATGAACAAATTGGGGGATGAGGAGAGGATGAATTGAAGAGAAAGGATTAGAGAATGTTGAAGCAAATAAACCAATTAGGAAACTATTACAATAATGCTTCTGAATGGAGAAAAAGGTCTAAATTAGGAAGGTGAGTGAAGAGAAGGGACAGATAGAAGAGCTGTTATGGAGGTAAAATCAACAAGGATTTGGCAATTGATTTGGTCTGGGGGATGAAAGGAAGGGAAGAGTCAAAAATCCAATCCAATCCAATCAATATTTATTAAGCACCTACTATGCCAGGCACTGTGCTAAGGCTGGGGATACAATTAATAAAAAGAAAAATAGCCCCTGCCCTCAACAAAGTTATAATCTAAAAGGGGAAACAACACACAAAGAGAGACAGGAAAAGGAATGAGGAGGGACAGGACACCAAGGAGTACCCAGGACAGGCATCTTTTTCCATGAAGTTGAAACCAGGCAGGGCAGCAGATGCAAAGTGGTGTGATGTGAAAGTCCAGTTTCTGCCCTCTGTAAAGGAAGGCTTTGGGAGGAGTTTGATATTGTGCCTTCCAGTAAGAGGGAAGTAGAGTCAATCAAATGTGAATTAGCAGTGTGGTAGTGAGTTTAGAAGTGGTGGATGACTTTTTCCTGGGAGGGGCATCTTGTTCCTTGGAGTTGAAACCAGCAGAGCAGCAAATGGAAAGTGGAGTGGTTGACTCTGAGGTTGCAAATATGGGTGACTGGAAGAATGATGATGCCCTCAACAGAAATGGGAGAGTTTAGAGAAAGAATGGGCTTGAGGAGAAATATTACGAGTCCCATTTTCAGACTTGGAAAATTTGAAATGCCAATGTTATATCCAATTGGAAATATCTATCAAGTAGTTGGAACACCCAGTTGGAGAGATCTATCAGGTAGTTTGAGGCAGCTAGATGGCACAGTGGATAGAGTGCCAGGTCTGGAGTCAGGAAGACCTGAGTTCAAATCCAACTTCAAACACTTACTAGCTGTGTGACCCTCAGCTTCCTTGTCTGAAAAATGAGAAGGAAATGGCAAATCACTCCAGTATCTTTACCAAGAAAACCCCAAAAAGGGGCCCTGAAGAGTCAGACATGATGGAAAATGACTGACCAACAATATCAAGTAGTTGGTGGTATAGAACTGGAGTTCACAATAGTACATGTAGATTGGGGAGTCATCTGCACAGAAATGATAATATTGATGAGAGTTTAAGGAGAGAAAAAGACCCAAGACCGAGTCAGGGAGTGGGAGCAAGGAAAAGGATGATGATCCAGCAAGAGAGAAAGAGGAGAGATCAGATAGGCAGAAGAGCTGAGACAGAACCGTCACAAAAGCCAAGGTAGAAAAGAATGTCTAGGAAGAGAAGGCGGTGAATGGTATGAAAAGTTGGAGAGAGGTCAAGCAGAAGGAAGAATGAAAAAAAGAGCATTGTAGTTACCAATTAAGAAATCTTCAGTGATCTCAGAGAGAGCAATTTCAACTGAGTTGTAGAGTTGGAAGGCAAAAGAAAAAAGGGATGCAATAAGGATAGGTCTTTTGGCTGTGAAAGGGAAGTGATATAAAGACAATAACTTGGTAGGGTTGGTTGAGGATTTTGTTTGTTTGCTTGAAGAATGGATGAGCCCTGGGCACCTTTGTAGGGTAGGAGGTAGTAGATAAGAAGATATTGAAGATAAGGTAAAGAGGGGGAGCTGGGTCCCACAGGAGATGGGAGGAGCTGGGATAAAGAGCACAAGAAGGAAAGTGAGAAGGAAAATCTCTTCCTTAGGGACTGGAGCAAAGGAGGAAAGAATAGGGCAACAATATAGGGGACTTTGGTCACTTGGTATAGGAAAGAAGGAGGGGGACCATGACAGATAGCTTCCATATTCTCAGTAAAGTGAGGCACTCTGTGAGATGGAGGGGGAAAGAGAAAAGGAAAGGTTTCCTGGGGATAAAAGAAAGAGTTTAGAATTGCTGCTATGAAAAATGTGATAGAGAATTGATCAGGGAAGAATAAAAAGATTTCCTTATAACAATGAGAGCCTACTGAGGATTAAACAACATTAATTTGTAGTGAACCCAGTTGGTACAATCACATAACTTTGGCTTGGTATAAGCATGTGACTTTATCTGTCTGCATTCAGTAACATACCAGGAAGAATGGAAAAACCAGATCTTGAGGGCAACCTATGGCTGATATCTGATGTCGTGGCTGGTAAGCAGGAGAGGGTTTTAAGGGAAGAAAGTAGTGTATACTTGAACTAGTCAACCATAAGGTCAACATTTTGATGGGAAGAAAGTGAGATCAGAGCATGAGTGGCTGAATAGGATAACAAGAAGGGTGGAGGGATTGAAGGAGTAGGTTCAGAAGGAATTAGGAGCAGGGAGAGGTAAAGAATACAAGAATATTAAATACAGGATTACTGCCTTGCAGAATTTGGCATACTTCCCAGCATAAAAAAACAATATATAACGTTGCTCACACATTTCCAACCAGTGGTACACCCTGGCCAGGAGGTCTTTTTTTGGCACACTTATCTCTAAATAGTCTTTGTCCATCTTGCTTCTGCAGACTATTTGGGGCTTTTCCTAAGAGGACCCTCTTGCATAGAAACTGTCAAATTTTTCATCTTATTTTTGTTAAACCATTTCTTTATTTGTCAAGGTCACTCTGACTCATATTCCGTTAGTTTTATGCCTCGAGGTATTTCTGAATAGCGGAATATTTCTGCAGAGTAGCTTATATTTTCTGCATGATGGCTTTCTAAAGAAAAACCCTGCATATAATATATTTTCCTGTGAAAGGAGTTCCTGAGTTATCCTCACTAGCACCTCATATGACTCAAGATGGAATTGTGAATTTCTTTTTAAGATGGAATTGTGGCTCTGAAAAAAGTTTTTTTGTTTCTTGCAGGTCTTATAATTTCTTTGCAGCTTCTTCGAGGGGACATGGACCAGATTCGGAGGGAAAACCCTATGATCTTTAACAGAGGCTTGGCAGTTACCAGGAAATTGGGTTTTCCTGATGTCATCATGCCAGGTAGGCAGAACTGTTCTGGGGGCTCCCAGAAGGTGCTGACAGAATCAAGTCAGCTCTTTCAGCTGTGGTTGATCAATATACCTAATCTGAGCCATCTTTACCTCCAATGGGCTCCACCCTGCCACCAGCTGAATCTTCTGCTAGCTGTAGGTGCTGGATTCATCTCACAAAATCACACAGAACAATGTTCCAAAGTGCTATATAGACACAACAGATGAGTTTTCTTGTCTTATACCCTCTGTGATTTCTACAGTGAAAGAATATGTACATCAGGGTTAACATTTCACCTTCCTGTTATCTCACCAGTCTCACAGGGAAACAACTGCAAGTGGCCTATTCCTTAAAGGGATAAAAAATGGCAAAGTATAGGAATGTGATTTTGATGAGAATGATTGGTGCTCTATGAAAGCTGAAGAGAAATCTCTTTTTTTTAATTATAATAGTGCAGGATCATAAAAAGCATCATTTTAAAATATGCTATGCAGGCATCTTCACTTCAAACCTGTGTATGTATACAAGCAAGTTACCCAAAAGGAGTCTTGGATTCAGGTGCCATAGGTCCAAGATATTTTGACATACACCTTATGCCCTCTAAGGTAATCCAGTCAGAGTCTCATATGATCCTTGACTTCTTGTCTTAGCCTGCCAGCCAAATAACAGAGTTTTGTAGATACCATGTTGCTAAAGAATGAACTGATGCCAATACTTATTATTCTTCTCTTAACCATCTAGTCCCACACTTTCCATGGTAATGCCTTCTGAGATGACACTAAATAAAACCTGTTTCTTCCCTGCTCATCCCTGTTTCAGAAATCTAGTTACTCTAAAAATTGTGAGCATTTGTATATGAAGAGAGTGAATCTGAAGTTTTCATTTTGGAATGAGCATAAAACCATATGAATGGGGGTAGGAGAGAAGCATCTTTCAGTTGAAATATTTTTAAGCAGGATTTCATTTCAAGAGATATTTTCAAAGTCACATTTGAGAAAAGAAGTCCTTTGATGAAGCAGCTGGGTGTCCCTTTGCCTCATCAGCATACCAGGGTCTGTAAAGGGTTTATGGGTACATTCCACAGAGCAGTTGAAATAAGAGAAGAGGATGAATTGTGCCCTCTGAATGACAACTAATGGGATATCATTAAAGTCAGTCTGCAGAAAAATTCATGTCATTTACCCCCACCAGCCCATTCCAGGGACAACCAAACTGCACCTGCTAAGTGAAGTAGATTCTTGGGTCAGTTAAATTGGAGACTTAGAGTTAGCACAGCAGAAGCATGGCTGAAAGTGCCTTGATAGCAGGAAGCAGACCCACATCTGCCTGCATTGCTTCCACGCACACCCTTTGTCACTTGGCAGAGAGGGTTCGAGCCTCTATTGGGCAAAACAATCCTTTGTGCATGTTGTTATCACCAGATTATGCCCCATCACCAGCTAGCAGCCTCCTGATATCTCCTGAGTCCCTCTCAGATTGGGACCTTGAGATTCCATAGTTCAGCAAAACATTATAGCACTGAGGCTTTACCTTCTGGTCAAACTAGCTCCAGAGAAATGCTGACTCTGACAAATTCTCTGTGGCGCATCCACCCATCCATCCCGACACATGTCCCCAGTGTCAGTGAGCCGGCAATCGTCTGCTAAGTAGGAATGTTCAGCTGATAGAGTTGTCTGGCCTATAGCCTCATTCCAGTGATTTCCTGTCCACTTCACAGCTGTGAAATAGCACGATGTTATTCCCTCTAATGCATGCAGCTTTATGGTAGCGAACAGCTATAGTTGTGGCAAATGGGTACTTAAGGAAATGGCCACTAAAGTTGTGAGTGGAGCTGCTGTGGAGTTTCCTAACAAGCCTGAAGGAGTCACAGTAAATGGGGCCATGACAGATAAGTAGGTGAAGGTGATTTTCCCATCATTTCAAGGTCCAAGTGAAAATAAGCGTGTCTTATTAGAATCCCTGGTAAGGAGAGAATCACACCTTCAAACCACAATGAGCTGGCAGTTAATTGAAGATCACACATCAGAAGAAATGCAAGAAGAACAGGGATTATGGCCAGAGCATATTTACAGTGCTACAAGTGAGAGTTTTTGCAGTCTCCAATCATACCACAGTGTCTTACATCTTGTTCTCTCACTGTCTAGTCCACCAATATTAAGAAAGGGAATGGACCTTTTATTGTACTGTTAGAATTATTTTCCAAATGCTCTTTCTGGGCTCCACCACCTGACAGACATTCTGCTTTGTTCAGGATATGGGGACTAGGCAGGAGTATTTTGAGCATGAGCCATAAACTATTCAAACTGCCCCCAAGCTCCTGGATTGATAGTGGCAGAGAAAATGCTAGCCTTGGAAATATCATCTTTGTTTTTAAAGGCTAATCTTAAGGATGGTTTTGGAAATATTTTGTCCAGCAAATCATTTTTTTTCCTTAACTGAACTCATCATCTTATGCTGATGGGGTAGCTAGCCACCAGTCATCTTTGCTTCCACGTTTGTTCTTCCTTACTCTAAATTCATCTTTTTGTGCATTACAAGTTAGTAGCTTTGTAGCAAAATTTTGGTCCCTTATAGATTTTCTTAACAAGATAATCAGGAAAGACTGGAGCAGAATAAGCTTCCTAGATAAACAAGGCTGCCTTGGTCAGTGTGGCTTCTATTCCAGGATTCATTGCAGATTCTTAATATTAACTATATCAAACTGCCTACCATTTTCAGAAAAAGGGAGTGAGGGAGAAAAATTAGGAACTCAAAATCTTATAAAAATGAATGCTAAAATATTTTCTTAATATATAAATGGTGGGGAAAGTACTATTTAAATAAATTTAAAAAACAGATTCTGAACACTATCACCTGAAAGATCAAAACTTGAAATGAATGGTTCGAAATCAATTTTATGGCTATTTTATTAAATAGATTTTATTTTAGGGCTATTTTATTAAAGAAATTAAATACATTTATTATATTAAATCCATTTTACTGAACAAACATCATGGGTTAAGAAAGAGCAAGAGCCCTTTTCCCTAATCCATTTAAAGACAATTAATATAGAACCACCATTTTCCTAAGAGAGTAACCTTCTCTTTCTCTGTGAATTTCTGTATAACACAGAAAACCAAAAACTAGCAGCATGCTATATGCTCACCTTTGAGGTGCTAATGAAAATGGGCATGTCTACCGCATCCTAAGTTTAACTGAACAATCCTGCTTTCTAGCCGTTTGTGGAGAATCAGGGCCCTGGCACACCTCTGGAGAACATTGCTAATAATTAATTCCTCTGGAAATTCTAACCTTGAAATTCCCAACTTGGTTGTGACATGAGCCACATGTCATGCTGATAATTAAATGTTCTTGTGTCTGTCTTTGTCATTCAGGAAAAAGGATTCAGTTGAACTAGCCCTATGGTTGAGTGTGTGTTTCTAGCTGCTGACTGAGGTTCTCTCAGAGAATAAAATTGCTTTGATCCTGGGGCAGGGCTGGGGAGGGGGGTAGGAAAAGGGACTGCCACTCACTGGGTGATGTGGGGTGGGCCAGGCCATGTGCTGCTTGCCTTTGGAATGGTCCTTGATCTGTATGCTGAATTTGCTGAGTAGAAATCAGCTGCCTCCGCATGGCAGTGTCTGTCTTCCCAAGGATCCCCTTCCCTTATTCACCTGCTTAGTAGTACACTCTGCCTCTTACTCTGAGCCTCTGATGAAAAGTGCATGCTTCATCATTGATCTGTGAGTGATGTTTCTTTCTGTTGTTCTCTTTCTCTCTGTCTTAATTTTTCTTGTTCTCTCTGTGTTATCCCTTCATTGTCTCCCCTTTCTTTCTGATGCAGAGATGAAGATAGTTGGGTGTAAGTTCCTGCTTTTCTGTTCAATGTCTGCTGCTTGCTTGCTTTTTCTCCATCTCCACTTTTTTCATGGAATGTTGGTGAAGGTAACAAATCATTGCAATATTGGGGGGAAATCATGTACATTCTCCACCCTTCACCAACCTCCCCTACCTTGGGCAGATTAGGAAGAAGATCTGTTGGGAGAGGTCCAGCAGGTGAAACTGATGGCACAGCCCTGAAGACTTGGAAAGGCACTGCTTTGGACCTTCAGTAAATCTTAGCAAGAGGAATGCTCCTCAAAGACGAGACTGAGGGCTTCTCAACTGTATTCAGAACACCCTAGGGATGAATCCATTCCAAGTAGGAGGGGAAATAGAAAAGGTTACAAATACATGAAGCGATTTCTGTGAAAAAGACAGGCCAATGACTCACATTAGCGAAGGAGATATTGAGTGGCATTCTTGTCTCAAGCAGCAGGGGATAAAAAGGTATCCAAAAAGGCTTTTCTAGTTCATTACCATTTATTCTTTCCACTCTTTCTGGACACACATGACATAAAAGAACTGTTTACTGCGAATGCATTTCTAAGGAATGGAGATGTCCTGAGCTGCTGCAGATTGATTCATAGGAATATAATCAGAAGTCACTGATGAAAATTTTGTCAAATCTAATAATAATTAATAATAGCACTTTAAGGTTTGCAAAGCACTTTACAAATATTCTCATTTTGTCTTCACAACAACCCTGGGAAGCAGGTGCTATTATTATCCCCATGTTACAGATGAGGAAGCTGAGGCAGACGGAGATTAGGTGATTTGCCCAGGGTTAAATAGCTAATAAGTGTCTGAGACCATCTTTGAACTCAAGACTTCCTAACTCCAAATCCAGCATTCTGTCCACTGTGCCACCTAACTGCCTACTGTCTCTCAGGGATGATTGTGGAATCCACTCATCTGTTCTGTGAGGAGAGCATGAGGAGAATTTCACGTTCGTTGGTCTTGAGAAAGGAATAAATAAGATTCTGTAGCCTTGAGAAAGGCAGCAAGGGTAATGGATGAGAAGAAGTCTTGGAAGTCTAGAAAACTAGCTTTGAGTCTTCCTCCTGACATATACTATCTGTGTGACCTTAGGCAAGTCACCTAACCCAGTGACCCAAACTCCTCTTCACGCATATTAGCTCTAGTTCAGT